GGGTATGTTCCCAGCCCCCGTAAAAGTTAAAGATATCAAATTCAGCTCCCAGATACGTGTGGTTCTGGTGTGCCAGCCCATGAAATTTTTTGGCAGGAAGCTTAGGGACCAGACGCATATCGACTATTTTCCCACATACGAAAGTGTAAAACAGTAATATTTTTAGAAGGCAAACGTCCGTTAGACGGAACAGCGCAGAACGCATGATCGCACCGGCTACCCTGGTGTGCGCTGCTATTTGTTTATTTTTTTTAGAGTTCGTGAAGCAATCTATGCGTGCATGGACAAGCATTATCCAAATGAGAAAAGCCGCCCGATGGTGCTGCCGGTGGAGTGGCGTGCTGCTTTGGTGCTGGACGATGGTGTTACTGATTATGTCACTTTACCCAAAATGTCCTCAATGCGTAACGCTTTAAATTCAACAGCAATGGATATCATGTTCTACCAGTCACCACTGTATCGAAATGAAGTGAGTTCGAGTTGCCTGCGCACCCCTTCCTCCAGTCGTACAGTGAGGTCCTAAACCATCTTTTTTTCATCTTCTGTGCGCCACTATAACGATCGGAGGACTTGCGCGGCCGCAGGCATGGAGCTGCGGAGGGCAAACACCCAAACTAATAAACAATCCTCTGTTAGTACAGAAGCAGAGACCCAGAAAAATCAGAAAACAAACCGCAAAAAAATTGGACAGTAGCTCCACGCTGCCACTGTACAATATCGAGGGTGGGAGCGGCAGCAGCTCCAAATTGTCTCCGCACAGTTCTTGTCACAACAAAAACAATCCACATTTCATTTCTAATCACTACATTAAATACCACGGAGGGGGGAATTTGAGTTAAGAGACGGGACATTTGCACATCACATGGAATCGAAGGGGAACTGAGCAAGGCGATGGGGTTTAGCTAACAACTTCGTTTCCTTGCTGCTAGCACCTTCTTCCTTTTGCAACACCACCGGTACAGCTGAAAATCTTTCCGTGATTGTTGCTAGAGAGGCTCCCCTATCTGTGGATTTTGGCGTTTCTGGTCTTATCCTACCAGAAACGCCAAAATCCATTTTTCGTTTTTATGCGTTCTGCATGCGTGGTTCCGGCTCATGCGAAGACTACTATGTATAGAAGCGTGGATGTTGCTTGTATTTTTAGCAATATAGTGTAGCTCAAAATATGCCATTTTCGGTTCCTTTGTGCTATGTAGTTTTGGCTTATCGCACCTGTGTTTTGCATGCCTTATTCGTTGACTTTCAGATAATGGACGGTTTGCTGAAGTCGTTGAATAATGTGTATAGTTTGTTTATCGAGAATTATCCGGATTTTGACGGGCCGATCTCGATTTACGCTCATTCTCTTGGCTCTGTGATGTGTTACGACCTGCTCACCAGCTGGTCTCCGCTTGTCCTGTACGACAAATACGTTGCTGAAACCATTGTAAGGGCAGCGTTTTTTTTTTTTTTCCACTTCTGTAATACACTAGGCGAAGCAGAAAGCTGGCCGTACTTACTGAGAATTTCTAAAGAAATCTCGAGATGGCTCATGTCTTTCCGTCACCTATGATCAGCTTATAAACAAGTCAAGTATTCGCGAATTCTACGCCAAATCATACATAGTATAGTTAATGGCCCAAAAAAACCTATAAAATCAGACCTACTGTTATATATTAAACATGGTAGCTTTTGTGAAAATTTTATTACTCATGGAGGGCTCAAAAAGAAAGTTCGCTTCTATAAAATGCTGAAGTCATGGAATTAGGATACTAGTTTGTGTGAGCGCAGTGTATTTCGAAATAATTTCGTGTTTTTTGTTGTGCACTAATTAAATTATTCAACTTCGAATTTTCGAACTTCGCCATTTTAAAGCTGTGTTTGATTTTATGGAGGAATAGGGTTTGTCCTGTGTTTCTAGGCCCCAGAGCTCAAAATTCATAGTGTACCCTATAATTATGCCATTTCCCTCCTCTCACTAATTCCTGATACTTCGACCTACTTCCCTCGTCTTACTAACTTCTAACAATTCCACCAAATTCTAAATGTTTTTATACTGTCTACTTTCCTACTC